ATCATCGAGGGATTGGTTATCTCGTTAAGCCGATTCTTCGATTTTCAGCGTGAGAGAACTTATGTTTTCTAGCATTTTATGATCAGTTTTGAGTAGAATGCATAAAAAGTATCCCTATTCCCACAGTAGAGTATGTTTCCGTTTAATCTGTGAACTTTTATGAGCTTTTCTTACGCATTTTTTTGGTTTAAACAATAATTTTAGATATAATGGAGAAATAGGTGATGTTGTAATTGGACGAATTTTGGAAGTTCAACAAAAACGATGGAAAGTCGACACGAATTCTCGACTACATTCCACGCTGTTGCTTTCGAGTGTAAATTTGCCTGGCGGTGAATTGGTATGATTTTTTGGCGGTTTTAGGGAAATCCTTCCTTGAACCAGCGTCTTAATCCTAAAAAACGTTTTGTTCGGTTCCTCTGTTTCATAGAAATAGGCAATTTTTTTCGAAGAATTTTTTTTTTTCAATTTTATCAGCGCCATATTTGGTTCTGCTTAGATCATACTGCCGTATTGGTCAAAAAATTCGACTTTAAGATACAAATTATAAGGCAATTCGCTGTCTGTTTGGCCTGTGACAAGTTCTAGGCTGTAAGCTGATTGTAGCATACAAGTAATATTAAAAATTTAAATAGGTCAGGAATAGAAAGAACTATATATTGATGAATATAGGAATAAAGCTGGTATGAGAAAAATAAGTACGAAAGAGTTAAGATGTTTCGGTCCATTAAGTCATATGTGTCTTAGCTCAACACCGTAACTGGACCCCCTCAGTATGACGGTCGCGGTGTTCAGAGATGAGAAAAAAAGGAAGGAGTGAAACGCAGGAAAAAAGAAAAAGATAGAAAAGGAAGATTTTTTTTTAAATTACATCAAATTTAGAATAGTTGAAAAAGATTAAAAATTTAAAAAGTTGTAATATAAAAGTATCAAGAAGGGGAAGTTGTAATTTCTCTTAGAAAGACCTTGAGTGAACTACCATCTTGCATAATTACATTCATGTATCGTAGTAATCAGCAGCTGAGTGGTTAACGGGATTTTTTCCGCATAATCTAAATTTTCAAAGTGCGTATTTGTTCGGTTATTGTAGAGACGGAAATCGGTGGAAGATGAATTAATGATGCGCGAATATCTCAAAGAAGGTGATCTGATCAGTGTAAGTTTTATATAGCTGTCTTTTACTAATCCCTGGAATAGCTGCTGATACAATTGTTATTTCGTAAACACTGCTGCTGAAAGCATTTCCATCAGCTTCGGTCTTCCCGTATTTAGACTATGTCCACTTATTCGTTTTGCCCATCTGTTATCCAGCATGTCATTTTTTTTTCCCATGGTTTTCTGTTCGAGAATTAAAAAATCTCATGAAAGCCCATGTTTTCGTCTCATTTTTATGCGATTTGTGGTGTCTAACAGCAGTATAAAACGCATATTGTCACGGGGTTGTCTGTTTATTTGTTCGTGTGTGTGTGTATGTGTGTGTCCGCAGCAACTTGTCCTCAAATTTCAACTCAGGAACCGCAAAAGCTAGGAAGCTGAAAATTTAGGTGAACGTTACCTACCTACGTGTGACCCCGCAAATTTAAATTCAGCTTCCCCTTATCCGCGGGTAGCACGTACGGCGCCGTGAAAGTTTTTTACGGGTAAATTAGTATCTCGGGAATCACGGAGTCTAGGAGGCTGAAATTTTAGGGTAATAACCCCCTGCCCACGCTCAACCTTACCCATTCAATTTCAGCGTTCACGCGCTCTCGGGTATCACCTACGGGTTAGTGAAAGTTTTGGTGGGTGAACTATTAACTCGGGAATCACGCAAAGATATTCACCCTTTAATTTTTCGAATTCAGTTTTCATGCGCTGGTGCGTGAAATTTTTAACTGTTTTCCAATGTTTGAACTATTTTGCTATTTAGCTTTCATACGCTGGTGCGTGAAATTTTTAACTGTTTTCCAATGTTTGAACTATTTTTGCATAGACAAGGTAAAAGGCAGCGAAAATCATTAATAGGCAATCGTTCGATGGGCTAAATTGCACAAAACCCATGATCACACCGGCTAGTCTGGTGCGCGTTGCTATTTATCCCTTTTGTGTCATCTTCAGTTTACTGGATAACAGATGGCGTAACTCTGCCTATTGTAAAATGGATGAGTATTCCATCATACATCAGATGCTCTGTCTGTGTTTATAGCTAAGGAATGAAACATAGGCTGCATACTTATGTATACCTTATAATATGTAATTTTCCAACCATCTTAATAGGAATATACTACGTACACTGTTGGATTTCCAGGCCGAAGTGCAAAAGGTGCATGGCGATGGGCAGTTGTCGCTACACACCAGAAACATGAGATATGGAAAGGTTATTTGAGTTTTTACTTTTTTTTGTTTTAAAGGGCATAATTGAAAAGTTTTAATCCAAAATTTTCTCAAAAAAGAAGGATTTGAAGAATCAGGTATTTTTGAGTTACAAGGATGTCCTGAATGAATACCAATGAGGAAATGACCACACAAAGTGCCCCCACTGACTAGACACACACACATACATTGGTCAAGCTGTTGGTAATGATGCAGCTCAGGATTGAAGGGCCTAAAAAAGCCTTCGGTACTGATCGTGGTTGCGCAGGGCCTGATATACCTATGCATGAAATATATTAGCATCTTGACAGCATCATTAATTTCGGATAGCCCTGGTCTTCGAGAAAAAAGTGGTTTGTTTTGACGGGGTTTTTTTATTTTCTGCTCGAAGCCTACTTCACGTTGACCTATTTTACTGATCACTCTTCCAGTAAAACTTTAACACATTGTTATTTGTCGGGATACAGGCAGTTTTGCGAAGGCTAGGCAGCGAATTCTTTGCATGAATTAATTCATATTGTGTGTAGGGCGAAAGAAATGTACTATTGCTGTTGAAATTAGCATGTCTTCTAGCAGAAATACATGGTCGGAGGTCATCCAGATTCAGTTTTTGAGCTGCTAGGTATCGTTCCTCTTTTTTTGGTGCGGTCCCCTTTTTTGGTTTGGCCTGCCCTTCGTTCCCCTTTTTTTCTTGGCCACAAAACATTCTGTTTTTTACTTAAGACTACTTTCAAGCCATCACTATTATGCGTTTTGTGCCGTGTAACAGCAATATAAAATGCATATTGTCACGGAGTTGTCTGTGTGTGTCTTCGCAGCAACTAGTCCGCAACTTCCAAACTCGAGAACCACAAAAGCTAGGAAACTGGAAATTTAGGGTCGTATTCCCCACCCACGTGTGACCCCGCAAATTTAAATTCAGCCTCACCGTACTCGCGGGTAACACGTACGGCCCCGTAAAAGTGTTGGCGGGATAAATTATTATCTCGGGAACCACGAAAGCTGGGGAACTAAAATTTTTATCGGTATGACCGCTGCCCACGTGCGATTCAGAAAATTTAAATTCAGCTTTCCCGTGCTCGCGGGTAACATATACGGCCCGGTGAAATTCTTGGCGAGTAAATTATTATCTCGAGAACCGTGGAATCTAGGAAGCTGAAATTTTGGAGGGCTGTTCCTTGCCCATGTGCAACCCGTCAAATTTAAATTCAGAGCAGTGAAAATCATTAGCATGCAATCGTTCGTTGGACGGGATTTCACAAAATGCATGATCGCACCGGCTGCCTTTGTGAGCACCACTGTCTTTTTTTTATTGCGAAAAGGTAAAGGGCGGCGACGCTGCATATGATGTTATTATTGTTGCAGTCATTATTGAATTCTTTACAGCTTGCACAAGGGACACTGTTGAAAATCTCACCTTATTTAATAAAGCGACGGAAATCACATTTCCATACACTGCCGTACGGTGTTTCAATAATATTCGGTCGAAACGGGTATGTTTGGATCTCGCCAGTTGCTACCGAAGAGCAAAGTGTAACCGGTGGATATGTGCAAAATTTGGAAGAGGTTAGCATTTAGTTTTGTACTGTCTTTTCCGATTCTCCACTTTTTTTTTTTTGAAATTAGCAATTGTCCTCACAAACAGCTACTTTTTTAGCAACTAAGTATAAATCATCTGTTTGGTTCTGTTGAAATGCAAAAAAAAAAAAAAAAATAATTGGCCAACGCATGGGC